AGAGAAGTGGTAAAAATTTTTTTTTTTTTTTTTTTTTTTTTTTTTTGAAACCTTTGTCTTGGCCATAAGTTTTGCACATATCACCATGGTAGAAGTTGTAATCAGCTAATGGACTGACAAAAACTTTATCACCTTCTTCAGTTTGAAGTCTCAGCAGCTGTTAAAGTCCTAACTTGTGGTTGATGCTTTGCAGAAACAATTCAGTAATCACCATAATGATTTTCTGGTGAAGCTTGACAATGAAGTGACAAGAGGATGGTGGACAAACAGACACAAAAACAGAAGAAAGGGTAAAACATGCAGGATCTGCCACAAGCTTTACAGTACAGTACCATGCAGACTGCACACGTTAAAGATCAACACAACCATGCATTAAATGGGAAAAGATGACTCTTACAAAGGGCTTTGAACAATAAAATGTTGGAGATTTTTATAATTGGTGTAAACGATTACCAACAATTTACTTGATCACTTAGTAATGTTGTAGAGGTGTTCTGTTTTGTCTAATGACTTCTGGTTTATTTTTGAAATCAGAAAACCCTCCAAAGAGCATCTTTAGCATAATACTCAGTAAAATAACAACTCAGGTGAAAAAAAGATAAAATACAGAATTTATTTGTGGTTTGGTTACTCCAGTGTGGAGAAAATCATGCAATTTCAAACAGATGCTGCAGGCAAGAACTTAAAAACAAGACTAAATGGTTTGGTCCCCCTCTTGTTTTTATATCAACATTTTTAATAACTATAATTTTGTCTGGTGTTTTCTTTCTCTGTGTTTTTTTACAATTAATTACAACTTTAATGGTTTTCTTAAGAAGCTTGTGGTGAAAGCTAGCAGCTTAGGAACACACGTACATCTAAGTTAGTAAAAACATGTTTCTAAGTGAGGTTTTTTTTTTTTTTTTGTGCAAAACTTCCTCTTTTGGGACAAAAAAAGCCAGAAACAGTTTTGAGCAAAGTAAATGTTTCATAAATTTGCATTGATTTCCCTTCTTCCTTGTCACTTTTAGAATCGAACTTTCAGAAACAATTGCTTTGTTAAAATGCAGATTTAATTATCTTTTCAACAATGAACAAAGTGCTCATTGTCCAGTTTAATGTTCTAAGTGAACTCAGAGCAAATCAAGAGGCATAAACAATCATGAGGCTCATTTTTCCTCAGAGGTGGAGGTTTACACATGGCTCCTTGTTGTTTGGATGCTTCACTTTGTGTTTCCTCAAAAAACGAGACCAATGTAAATAAAACAATGCAGCATAAACAATCAGACACACACATAAGGTGGTATGTGTACTATAGCTGAGTATTTGAAGGTGTTTCATGTTTCACCTTTAAATACACACAGTGGGAGGGAGGACTTTGATAACATGCAAACTGTTTAAGTCAGTAGAAGCCTTTCAAGATGAAAAGCGGCTTATTGAATTAAATGTTTCACCTGAGAACCCTCCGTAGAAAAGATTAACATGGCGACTGAAAGAGTTTCATGCTCAATTATATGGTTTAAACCATTAAGACGTTGAAGTTGCCTGACGACGGAGCATGCATCATTATTGCTCCTTTAGAGCCTACGTACCTCCAACATTGTAGCCCAAACAAGAGTTCTGGTCACAGTATCCCGGCGGTCCTGGAGGGCCGACTGGACCGGGAACTCCGGGCCGACCAGAAGTTCCAGGGTTTCCAGGGCGACCTGTTGGACCCTGGCTGCCAGGTCTGCCCTGTCCTTGGGGACCTACGGAGTGGAAAGGTTAGAGTTCAACTATACACACTATATTTATATAAACTGTTAAAGAAAAAAAACGAAACATCTTCAAACATCAAGCACAGATCCTGTGTGGATCCTGTGTGGTTTAATGTGATGATTTACCAGGAGGCCCCGGAGGCCCTCTGGGGCCCTGGACACCAACGCCTGCAGATCCCTTCTCCCCCTTTTCTCCTGGTTGACCTGGAAACAGAAACAAGCACTTTTTTTTAGACTAAAGAAAGTACAAATTGTTATTCTTCTACTTTTTAAAACAAATCCTTATGCATAATGTTAACTTTCACAAATATGTTTAAACTTCTTGCTGCCAGAAATTATTTAGCTATATAAAAATGTGTTTTAGAAAAAAAATATTTTAAATTATGTAGTGGTTTATTAATTTAAACGCAGTAAGTACAAAAAAGATAAATGTTTAGCATTCAGTATGTTTAGTTTGACAAAACTCCAACCACTGGATTGTAACGTTTTTCTATGTTTTATATGTGATGGTTGGTACATATTGAATATGCATCAGCAGGTGTGTGGCATACTTACGCCTCAGTTGTGTGGATGTTTGAGGTTATTATGTGATAATAGTCCAGATGGGGGTGGAGAATATCTCTATTTACATAACAAATACACTTCTATTTGTACGACAACTTTTGATCTTCAGTATCTGAAACATCTCAAAGCCAAACGTTCTCTGCAACTTTCACTGCTTCACCTCGTTCTCCAGGATTTCCATTTTGACCATTCTGGCCAGGAAAGCCTGGCCTTCCTGGTGGTCCCTGTTCTCCCTGGGGTCCCGGGGCACCTTCACGACCAGGTTCTCCTGGAGGTCCAGGCACTGTGCGGATGGACACTGGTGGACTGGGCGCTTGGTTCAAGATAGTGTTGTAGCGCGACATGTGACCTGGAAAAGGGACAAGAAAAGGAGAAAGTCAAGTCGCATTATGAAATTTGTTGAGTAAGAGCAACACATGATGGAGAACAAAAGCAGATCAATGGATTAAAGGGAAGAGTTAAACCTTTGACTGTTCAACTACTATTATTCTTCAGATAATAAAGTGTGACTGTGAACAACAGAGTAAGGGTTCTCTTAGATTTTTGCTTTTACACAAAACAAACCCTCATGTTTGTGATTCTATGAATATAATCAATGTCAAAGAAAATCCTGGACTTATTTTAAGGCCCATGTCTCCATGTCATCCTCTCTTCCTAACTTACTTTGGATCAGCTGCTCACAGACTTGTCTGGCAATGGCCTGAACTGACGCCGTTGACTGGAGGTCACCCTGTAGACGGAGTAAAGATCATTTAATGTAGTTTGAGACTTCCAGCTTCTCATCCATGTTTATTAATCATAACTTGGTTAATGTATGCTATGTTCAACTGTCCTTCATTTAAGATGTTTTGAGAAATTACTTTACCTGAACATTTGAACAAAACATTACAGCTAATGTAATATTTATGATACTTTCATTCACTTTCATTGTTATCTTATTCAAAATAAGATAAGAAAAAGACACCTACCCGTTCACCTTTCTCTCCCTTTGTTCCTGGTGGACCCTGCAATAAAACAGGTAAAATATAACATTAACAACAATAAACATACAAATAATGTACATGATGTAGACTTTGACTCAGAGGAAATATGGTTTTCAGACTTCATTGACCTCAAAGCAAAATTCATCTCAATAGAAGCTGTGAAAGTCTTCAGAAAGACAAAGTTTATTGGAAAATACAAAAAAAACCCTTTCCCACTGCATTTCTATTCACATATCTCTACATCTAACTCATTATAGCCATGAAAAGGTTAACATTTAGCAGCGTATAAAAAGCTCATATTTTGATCAACTGTCATGAGCTCACAGACGTCAGACTGCACTATGCTGCAGGGCCATCTGTATCAGACTGTCTGATACACTCTTTTATTCAGCTCAGTTCACATATTTTATATGAGCTTTAGGTCAAAGAACTGAGAAAGTCATGGAAGAAGGTTGATTTAGTGATTAGTGAACCATGTCTTGTTGTTTAGCCATATGCATTGATTTTTTTGTGGTGCCAAAAGAAGAATATTCACATATTCTTTCTTTGAGTGACAGCAGACCCTCCTCAACGTCCTGTTGTTCAAAAACACACAGTTCCAGTGGTAGTTCCAGTGGCATTTAGCATTTGTTCACACTGGCCTGACTTACATTGTGTTTTGTAGACTGGTTAAGACAAATCAGCCTCTTTATTATGGAATATTTATATTTATACCAATGACTTGTGGGTATGCATATGCCTGACTAGAAAATGAGAAACATTAGAAACAGCTTCAGACACATAAAGTAGCACTGTAGATTTTTCTTAATATACAATATTTTTGACCAGCAAATACATTTATTAAATTTAAAAGTTGGATTTCATTCCATTTTTTCAATGTCAGATTATGCTACATTAAAATATTTATTTATTGTGATATTTTTCAGACTTTGGCAGAGTCTAATCTTTACCTTAACTTCATGCTTAATATGTAAACAAGGTAAAGAAAATATGTAGAAATTTATTCCAGACTAAACATCATTTATAGAAAATCAAAAGCACAAAATAAAGAAACAACAAAAGCAAGAAAATTGCAGAGATTTATTGTTTTAGAAACTGTGTCAATCCCCGACACTCACTGCTCGGTATTTTTCTCCACCAAGTCCTCATTAAGAGCAATAACTTAACAGTGGTGCCGTAATTAGCTGATGAGTGCTCTCTGCAGTCCGCCCACGCAGCGATGATTACATGCTTGACAACATTTTATCAAAGCGATGCAAACTCATTTATCAGCAGCTTTTATCGCCTCCCACAGAGTCTTGTTTCTTCTTTGGCGCTGCTATGAAAATGTGGTTTCCTTTCACTCAAACGCAAATAAATGCCAAAGCAGAGAAAACAAACCAAGACAAAATGCCAGAGAAAGATGTGTTTAAATCGCCTTAGAGATTTTTTCTTCTTTGCTTTGGCTTGAATTTTGCAGATTGCAATTTTAAAAATCCAACTTAACATTTGTTGAACCAAAGTTGAGTCTTTGTAATGCATTAGAAATTCATTAATGGGTGATCTAGGTTGAAAAATGACTTAATAAGCTGTTCATGCTGTAAAAAGAGTTGGTGAAAGCTCTTGATAGAGAAGTTGTCAGTGCCGCTATTTAAGCATAACACAAAGGGTTAAACTGTTGAAGTTCTTCTCACAATATAATCTGAACTCAGATGTCTGCCTTTGTGTCAGCTTGAATACTCTTCACTCTGCCTTTCATTTGGGTGTCTGCGTATCAAATACGGTCATAGACAGACTGGACAGGGAGCCATTAATCCCCCGTTAGCCACCTTACCGGCTCCCAGGCTGTCTGACACACTCTGCTAAGCCTGACTGACGCTACGTCCTGCTGCCTCTGGGATATTTGCACAGCACTAGATATAAAAGAATATGTTCTCTTTAATAAATGCAAACCAAGAAAAAAAAGTTCACGACAGGTCGGTATGATCTCCAGACTCACTGGTGGTCCCAGGGTTCCCTGTTTTCCTTGGGGGCCGGTATTTCCAGGAGATCCAGGAGCTCCTGGAGTCCCCTGAGCACACAGAAGGAAAAAAATCAGTTGAAATCAATGGTTTTGTATGAGCAATTTCTCTTCTGCATATTATCAAGTTTTCTTTCTACCTAAAGAGAGTTCACCCAATTTAATCACACAGCCAATAACCACTAGCAATGAAATATCTCATAATTTATCCTTCAATTTCTTTTGCAAATTTTGTTTAAAGAAATAATTTGAAACTATTTCAAAAAATACATTCTCAGACCAAACTGCCAGAAAAGACATTCAGAGGTTCTGTATTTGAAGCAACAAATGCCCAAATAATAACACATTCTGAATATACAAATGAGTTAACTGCATTTTAGAAATAAGCAATTATGTTATTTTGCTTCTGTATTTGGAGGCACAGAAACACATTTGCTCCAGCAATAGTTTTAATACAAATGAACTTCAATACTGGAGGGATTTTATGCAGGTCTCACCATAGTTCCTGGCGGTCCCTGTCTGCCCTGTGGGCCGTCTTTGCCTATAAGTCCCTGTAGAGGTGAAAGTAAATTATAAAGCCAGAGGTAGACTTTGACTATTTAATGTCAGCAATAATCATTTTTTTCATGGAGTCTTCAAAATACTTTAAAGAGCTCGAGTTGTTTCACATTTCCACTACTGAAAGATTGTAATATTAAGAGGAACTGACCCTGGGTCCTGGAGGTCCTTCTCTTCCTGCAGGGCCAGGTCTTCCAGGTATACCCTGAGAAAAAACGTGAAATAAGTTCTTTAAATCGCTACCATATCAATATTTACTAAAATCTCTCAGGAATGTCATGATCAATTAACATTCTATGAACAAATAATCTGGCCTTACTGCAAAAAAAAAAAAAAAAAAAAAAAAAAAAAAAAAAAATTTAAAAAAGAAAAAAGAAAAATAACCCAAGTTAAAA